CCGGTAGTGGGGGGCAGTTAGGAGCGATCAGGCAGTTGGGGGCACGCAGGTTGGCAGGGGGGGGCAGTTGGGAGCTATCAGGCCAGCAGGCAGAGTGGTTAGGGGTGATTAGGCAGACAAAGCAGGTGAGCAGTTAGGAGCCAGTGGTTCCTGATTGTGAGAGAGATGTCCGACTTCCAGTTTAAGCCCAATCCTGCAGGAATAGGGCATTAACTGGCAATTGAACATCCTCCCAGGGGTCCCAGATTGGAGAGGGTGCAGACAGTCTGAGGGACACCCCTCCCTTGCACAAATTTGTGCACCAGGCCACTAGTTTAATAAAAGGGTAATATGCAAATCTACCAAATGGCAGAATGATTGGTTTCTATGATGTGCACTGACCACCAGGGGGCAGATGCTCAATGCAGGAGCTTCCCCTTGATGGTCAGTGCACTCACATGGGGGAGCACCACTCAGCCACAAACTGGGCTGATGGCTGGTGAGCAGGGCAGCCCATCTCCGTGGCAGTGCTAAGGATGTCCGACTGCAGCTTAGGCCCACTCCCCTTGGGGTCATGCACCAGGCCTCTAGTATTTATATATCTATTCCCCTCAGTAAGCTGCAAGCCCTTTGAACTTGTTGATTATCTTGGCATAATTTGTTAATTATCTTTGCATCTGCTACGTGTACCAGATTATCTTTTATACAATGGACCTTGATAAATACTCCAACAATTTGTAAAGGAATGAATATATTCATGTTTTCTGACTTTGTATGCCTCACATTTTTTTAACATCAAAAATGGAATTATATTCTAAAGCTTAATATATCTACAATGAAATATAGGTAATGAATATTTACTTCTGAATAATATAGTGAATTTATACGTGCCTAAAAGTAACAATGACTTAGACAACTAAAAAATCCTGAATAAAACTGACCTTAAAATTATATTTAAAAAATTAAAATGTTTTTCAAATATTGTTTTTTAAAAATTTTAATACGAAACTATCTCTTTCCTCTCTGACATTAAGATAGATAGATGATAGGTAATAAATAGGAGATTGATAGATAATAAATAAAAGATTGATTGAGTATTGGTAAATTGATGCTCAATAGATGGACAAAAGATAGAAAAATAATAAAGCAAATAATTTGGGAAAGCTTGAAAGACATTGCTTTTCAACTGTTGTTACATATTTCCATATATCCATATTGTAATCTCATTAACTCACTTTTACTGAGAAAATGATTTGATATAGTAGAGACAGTCAATGAGCTGTACAGGAAGACATTAATTTTCTTGAATGAAGCTGCTAAAGCTAATAAGATCAATCATTTTATATAAAGTAACTTTGTACTTTCTCTAAGTCATTAAAATTATATCAAGAAAGAAAAATGTAGTAGACTAAATTAATAGGGCAAATACTATTTAAGAGAAAATGCTATTGAATGAATTTTATCTGATTTCAATATCAGTATAGGATATTGTCACAAATTAGGTTCTCCAGAAGCAGAATTAAAGGTAGGGCATAATGTGCAAACAATATTTATAGGGCATAAATCCTGTGAAAAAAGCAGGGCAAAATACTGGAAAAAAATAATTAAAATCACTCAAAAGCAAAATGAAGAAAATAATTAAAATTTTTGAATTATGAGAAAAAATTGATTAATTTCATTCATTCCATGTTTTCTGTGTTCTTTTTGAAAACATAATTTTGAAATTAAATATAAAATATTTTTGTGCAAACCTAATTTACCTTAGATTTAATGCTAACAAATTAATTAAAAATAAATTTAAAAATCAAATAAATATTTATTGCTACAGACTTCACTATTTATAGCTGACACTAATAATTTAATAATGAATTCATCATTATAATTAATAACACTTAAGTTAGCTGAGAGAATTAATAAATTAGAAATCATCTTAAATAGGCATTTCTTAATAGATGTATTAAAAATTAATATATTGAATTTTGCTTCATATATGAAAACATAAAGGAACTGGAGTTCAATTGTATACACTATTAGAACAACAACAATAAAATGACCCTGAGGAATACCATTATTTTTTTTCTGGTAAATAAACTTTTTAGTGTAAAACCAGGAGCATAGACTTTTCAGTTATGCTCACAGATAATTTATTCCTAGTGTGTGTCAGTATTTTTACTTTAGGACCTGAAGGCTGTAACTAATTCTTGTTAATACATAAGAAGTAGCACACAAGAGACACCTTTAAACTCATCTTTGCATAAGTTATATTTTTGTTGGATTTATTCCTTACATTTTGTTTTTCTCTTCCTAAAATCATGACTTCTTTGCTCCTGGGTTACTTCCAGTTGTGTTCTGCAGCTGTTAGTTCAATTCATGATAAACAATTGATCACACAGATCATAGAACAAGTTAATCAGCCTGGGGCTTTAGTAATGAAAAATAAAGCTCCAACAAGTCAATCTCTCAGCCTTAAGTAGAGAAGATATCTAGAACCAATTAAACACTGGCCCCAGTGACAGTGATTTAAGCTCTACTTTTGAAACCTGTATCCTCCCTAGAACAACAGTTATAAAATCTACCTTGAAATCAAAGCGTATAAGGAGTCCAGTATATCATAAAAGGACATACATTATCTGATCTAATACTTCCCTTTCTCCTGGAGTAGCTAATTACTAATGAGTCATGTCCCTTGTTAAAACAAGTTATAGGAAATATTCAACCCTATAACTTCCCTTTAGGGAAGGCTTTGTATTTTCTCTCAGTTATAATTATGAAGAATACAAAAATTTCATAGAAGCCCCAAGCAGATTTAGATTTTATAATGCATACTTTCCAGGAAAGCTGGGGAGGTTAATATTTAACCTCACCAAACAAGGAAGAATGAGCTGCGAAATTTGTTTTGAGTTAACTAGACATTAGTCTCTGCTACAGGCAGAATTCTTTCTCTAATAAATTATTTGTTTTAAGACACCTAAAACTACCTTCAGTGCCATATAGATGCAAGTGATACAAAATTATATGTTCAGCTCAAACTAAATCTTAAAACCAAGCTATGGAAACATCAATGTATTATCTCTGGTCTGATATCATTTATTTTCATTTTCCTTCACACATTTTATATCTTTCTAGTGGTGGGAAACCACCTGTTTTCTTCACTAGCAGAGAGGTGTAGACAGAGAACCCGGAAGGCTGGTGACCTTTGAAGCCCTAGCAAAGGTCAGAGCTGTGCACCACCTCTGTTAATCCAGATAATGGTAGCTGAAGCAACCTCCCCAGCTTTAATCATGTAAATCCTTATTGATAAGAATAGTCTGTGTGTCACTGGAACATCCCTGCCTAAGGGCTATACTATGGGTGGATCCCGAACCAAATAAAAGCTTGGTGAGGCCTGAGCACCAGTGGAAGTCCTTCCCCTTGAGTTGGACTTACCCGCCTGGCCCCCCAATATTTCCAAATTATCTCTTGTCTCTTCTCTTTCGTTTGTGTGTGGCTCCTCTTCCAGATCCTGAACTCTGAGCCACGGCGGGCGTGGAGGGAAACATTTACCACACTAGTCTCCCTTCTATAGGGCAGACCAAATATTGGTCACTTTATAGTTTTCAGATTCATAGAGATAGAGAATATCTCAGTACAAATTTTAAATACTGAAGAAATAGAATTTCTTCTATTTATGAGTCAAAATGTTTAACTCTGGTCATTTAACTGTGCTAGGGTTAAAAAGATATACCAACATGGCTGTCAGGGTCAGGGCTACAGATCTATTGGACTGGGGGTTATTTTTGTTTTTGGGTTTACTAATTATGATTTTCCCACACCCCTCTAATGTCTCAGAATCAATTAAGAAATCAAGCAATGGAGTCAAAGAGAAGATATCAAATAATTGGTATTGACAATAAATACTGAATTAGAAATTGTTAATTAGATATAGATCATAAGCATGCATTATTTATTTTTTTTAAAATATGTTTTATTGATTTTTTACAGAGAGGAAGGGAGAGGGATAGAGAGTTAGAAACATCGATGAGAGAGAAACATCGATCAGCTGCCTCCTACACGCCCCCTACTGGGTATGTGCCCGCAACCAAGGTACTTGCCCTTGACCGGAATCGAACCTGGGACCCATGAGGCTGCAGGCCAACGCTCTATCCGCCAAACCACTTCTGGCAGCATGCATTATTTTAATTTCTATGCATAATTAAATGATTGAACCTTGGGCAATCCAACCAAAGGAGATTTTGCATCTATAGAGAAGATACACTCAATTTAGAAGCTTACCTTTCATCTTTAGAGTCTAATCACTTGGAGAAGAGAGAAAAATGTGCTTCCAGATTTGCCTTAGAAGAAGCCATATTGGGGGTAAGGGGTGCAAATCTTTTGAAAGAAGTAACAGAATAGAATGAATTTTTTTTTTCATATGGAAAGATACAAAGAGAACAAGACAGAGAAAAAGCAAGATGTATAAGAAAGGAGAGAGGGAGACATTTTTCTTCATCTTAATCAGACAACTTTATTCTTTTTTATTTGGAATTGAGTGTATTAGACGATGTAAAGAATCATGGTACAAAACAAGTGTTGGGCCAGGCAAGACTAACTTAAAAAAAAATTCCCCTATCATAGAAGATAAAATCATGTAAGACCAACTTCAGACTGGCTGAGGCCAATGAATTTGTCAAGAGTCTGTGAATTATAGGAGGAAGGCTTATGCAGAAAAGAACTATTCAGCTTTAACAGTGTTGGTAAAGGACAGAGCTTTCTTTGTAACCCATATGATAGCAGGCAAGGTATTCACCACACTCTGTTACTCTTACTGTCAAGGTCAATGATCATTGTCCCATTACAATGAAGTTCCTATAGCACTATGAGTGATATGTTGAAAACAAGAGCATTTTTGCAAGGTAATTAAAGTAATACATCTTTCAACTTAGGAAGTTGTAGTTACAGTGAAACTACAAATAAAAGGGTAGCTTTAATACCCAGAAAGAAGAAACTTTAAAACAAACATAAAGTATATTACTCTTTCAAATTTGAAACCAAAAATTTTCATGTGCATCTACAAAATCTTCCAGAGAATATCTTCAAAATAACATTTCCTAATATTTTAAGCTTTTTGTTATTTATTAATAAATAAACAATAAAATATTTATTAATAAATTGTCAATACTAATAAACATCATTTATTATTAGTAAATGTTAAATTATTTATTACTAATAGATAATAATTGTTATTTATTTATTTATTATTATTCATCTTTAATTTGCTTCTCTCCCAGGGAGTTATTCAGATAATTAAGTTAGCAAATTTTTCAGGACTTTTAGGATTCTAGGTATTATATTTAATACATTTAAATTGGAAATTTTTAGAAATTTGAAAGTTAGGACAGTAGAGATAATTTATAAGTAGAAGAAATGTGAAGAGTTTGTTGTTTTTTCTTGGGCACCATATGGACATGAATGAATAAATACTATGAGAACAAGAACTAGGATCAATCATGTCACATTCATCTAGTGACTGTCAATCTGCATTAAGAATGTCTCCAATATAGTTTGTTATCTTGAATGTTGGTTCAGTATTTATATGTAGTCCTGACCCCAAATCAATTCTGTTAAAGCAACATTGATTTTGGATTTGCCTTTATATAAAAGAAACATGAGATTAGTTTCAGTGAATAATCCTGCTTTTCCCCGTGTCATCCTGCTCTCAAGGCAGGTCACTTATTAAGACCATGCCAAATATTAGAGCAATCAATTTTTAATTTTTAAAGTGTTACTTTAGTTAAAGTTTAAAGTAAGTTTTTTTAAAATAGATTTGTTTGTTTGATTCTTTATTACCTAACTATAATAGAGGATTAGCTATGAAATTTCTAGGGCAAAGATTGGGTTCATTTAATCTTTTCTTATTTTCAATGTCTAATGTTTAAATTCTCCATTCAGGATTATGCCTGACGAAACGCAAATTTACCTGGGAACTAAATAAAGTATGCATTCAGTCATATCCTCCTCCTAGATATTCAAGTCTCACAGTGTCTGAAGTTAGAAGGAAAGGATAAACTGGAAAAAAATGCAGCATGTGTAAAAAAGATTAATGACTTTAACATATGTATATGTTAAAATAATAAAAAAGAATAAAATACTGATTAAAAATTGGAAAAAGGAAATAAACGGAACATTGACTACAGAAATAACAATTGCGGCTAAAGTACTCACCTCTCACTATGGAACAGGAGCTGTGCTAATCACTTCACTTGAGTTGTCTCACGTAATTATCAAATAATCTATTATTGCTGCTGGTGATAAACTATGATATAATATTATTTTTTTATTATTAGCATCTCTAGTGCTCATAATAATATAACACATAAAAATACAAATAGGTAATATATTTTGATCCTCACAAGCTAATTTTAAGTAATCACAATATTTAAAAATAAGATTCTATTTGTATCACACATCCAATAGACAATACACAAAGGCAATCAAAACCTCTTTTAAGGTAAATTCTACATATGAGGAAATATTTCTTAAAATTTATTGTTTCTGGAAATACATAAATTTTCCAGAGTCCAATTTTAGTAATAAGTAAAAACCATCAGAGTATGCATATAACATTCATAAAATATTTGTCAAAGCAAGGGATTATGTTTGGAGGTAAAAATACAGTACCCATAAGCATGCAGGAAGCAGCCAATTGGTAATTCTCTCTCATCTTTAATGTTTCTATCTCTCTCTCCTGCTCCCTTTCTCTCCGAAATCAATAAAATATATATTTAAAAACATGTAGTACCGAAGAACATGTAAAATCTGAGATATGTACATATTTTAACATGGAAACTATGAAATTGGAGATAGCTTCCATTCAGTAGAATATTTCCTGAGGTTATCAAGTATGTGAATATCTATACAGAGGATATTTTATTGATTAAAATGCCATGACCTACAGAGAAGAGCCAATTAGCCTTTAAGTGGTAGTTTGAAGAATATTGCTGCCAAATGTATAAAGAAATAATTGTACTATGTAATACAGTCATAAAATATAGGGAGACCAATAATAATAATTAGACCATATTTGAGAAAAAGCATTCTCAGAAAAATAACTATGACATAGTATTAGAGACAGCAATGGCTAAGAAAATGATTACAGTAAATGACTATATCCCAAAGGTAATTATTCTGCTTATATTTTTGATGATCAGAAAACAAATATGAAGAATTATTATTATTATAGAGCAACCAGCTCTGCCACAGAGACCGCGCCATCTTGAAGGGCAGATTGGCTGTGATTGAAAGCCTAGCCTTACCTTCAACCGGGAAGAGTCAGATACCTCCCGGGACCTTACAACCACAACACCCAGGGACCAGCTGTGAACCCACTAACACGAGGTCTCAAGCAGCACAAATATGCGGACTCAGACAGCTCTGCACCTCCTCACGGAAAGGTCAGATTTCACCCAGAGAAAGGTGAGGTCTGCGATCCAGACTGGAGGGAGAAATGCGCTCAGCGGGATCTAGAAGTTCAGACTAAGTCTGCGCCCCACAAAATCTGGATAGAGTAAAATGGAACCAGCGTAGTCCACAAATGTGGAAGTTTGTCCAGAGGACTGCTGGCAGAAGGGAACTCTAGAAATCAACCAATAGCTGGGCTGGGCACAAAAAGGCAGCCTGAAGTTTTACCAGTATAGCAGCTGCACTGTGCCAGGGGAAAAAGACATGCACAGAGTGTGCCGGAGGGAAAAAGTCACGAGTTTGCGCACTTACTCTGGCTTTTTTTCCCTTTAAATCCTTGCTTTTGATTACTAAGCCCAGTACATAGGATCACCAAATTGAAAACGCTCTCAGAGACTGCAGGGGAAAGTTGTTTTTTGTGGAACCTGGGGATCAGAAAACCAGCTCTGGGACAGTCCACTCCCCAAACCAGTATTAAGTGCGACAGGGAAAACAAAATGTAAATACTGGGTAGAGAGGACTGATAGCCCCGGATGTCAATAGAGAAACACTGCCACCCAGAGTCAATCACAAATTGACTCTTGTCTAAATACAACTACAGGCAGACTGAAAAATGAAGAAATACTGCCTGCTAGAAAGAGGATTGTGGCTTACAACACAGAGTAGCGGTGGAATGCAGGGAACTTCAAATCTGCCCTGACTACCTGACAGGGAACAGGCGTGCCAAACA